AGGACGTGGGCATGAGTGTGGGCAGGGCCAACATTTAAACTGAATGGCTTATTAGAGGACAGTTAGAAATCACCTATTTACCTGTGGATCAGAAGTCCAAGGTAGATCAGACCAGTTAACGTGGCAGTTTTCCTTCCCAAACAGACATTAATGAACCAGATGAGTTGTTACAACTAATCAATGACAGATGTATGGTCCCTATTGCTGAGAATATTTTAGCCCAGATTCATTCATTGACCTCTAATTTCACTAGCTGTTGTGGCATGAGATGAATCTATATGATCAGAATATGAACCTGAATCTTCTGGATTAGAGTCCAGTGGAATTACTAACATGCTATCATCTCGCCTTGTTAAGCCTTTGTACTTAAAATTGGTATTACATCATATCACTGCAAAATCTAGGTCGGTGCTAAATGATATGGCCTTGAGCCATCAAGCCTGTCTGGCATCCATCTCCTGGAATTGTACAAGAGGTTGAAGCACTCATCACTGCTGGGACTTTATGACATTTATGTTACTGTGCCATATTTAAACCATGGCTCCATGCCACTTCAGGCACTGCAAGGTAGGAATTGCTCTTTACACTGTGGTCCTGCAATGTTACCCCCAAGGAGATAGCCCAGAAAAAGTAGATTACCTTCTCAGCTCACCCCCCAGGGACCAGGAGGTGCTGGTGGATGAGGGTGTGGAGAGAGGGCAGTGCTGTAACTGCTGACCAGCAAGGAGGCTTTGACTCCAGACTTAGCTACCATGGGCTCAGATAGTGTTCCAGGTCTGTGCAGTATTTTGGATGAAATGCAATGCACAGCAATGCAGGGAGAAGGTTAATTATGTTAACAATGTATTCTACAAGGCTGATTGCCATGATCTTCTCTCTGCTAGCTCATGCTCACAGGACTACCACCCTAACTCTGCAACCGCACACTTAACTCAGCAAGGCTCATGGACCACACCTTTCAGTTTTCTATGCATCATACTCATCCCTGGCTCTCACTCACTTCCAAAGTAAAATTCCTTCCTGCCCTCTGCTTTTCTTATTTATTCAGTGGGATACTTTATCTCCTGCTCAAAAATCACCATTAACTGCCCTTCCATCACAATGATCATACTAAATCCCTCCTTTTGTCACATTGCAGTAAGAATTGACCCATCCCCTGTACTGGAATTGAACAAGCCCTTGACTGACTGCGTTGGTACCCCTGACTGAATGTAATCCTGTTTGAGTCTATGAAGAACTGGTCCTGTCTGATTTTCAGACATGACCAATTGGTTGAAACACATGCAGTGTGTTTGCTGTGTAAGTTGCTGGCGAATGCTGTGGATATAATGTTGACATACCACAATGTGTACTGAAGCTTGTACATGCCCTTGACTGCTCAGTGCTCCAGATTGATACAAACTGTGTCCTCTTCTCCTGTTGTAAAGGCAATGCAAGCTACCAGGAGCTGGCAGCTACAAAGAGAATAAAAAAGGAAGCTAAGAACTATTAAATGCATCCTGTGTAGATGAATGAAATTTGTGTATGTCCCCATGGGCAAAGTAACTTGGCATAAGTATGAAAATTTTAAATGTCCCTGCAGCCCAAAACAAAGTCCTGGAAGGCTAAAGTGGTGTGCATTCATCTGAAATCAACCACAAGGCTGCAGGTTTTACGGTACCTACTGCATGAATGAAAGATGGAAAAGACAGTGTTTCTAGGCAAGGAAGAAGGTTATATTTCAGTAATGAAATAAAGAGGGAAAAGGCAGTTTACAAGCCTGACAGAAAACACATTCAAAAAGAGGAGAATCAATGATGAAGCTGAAAAAAATGTTCTGAAAATGCCTAATGATACAATATTATGGGATGTGAATTCCTTCCAAAATTTTCCAATTAATGTTTAAATTTTGCATGTAAGAACAGATAAACAAACCAACTCCATTTAAAGCAAAATGTTATTGAAACATAGGGAAGCATAACACTGAGGACATATTACTTGTCAACAAGTTTCTGCAGTCACACAGTGACTATAAAACATTATTGTGCTATAGGTGCATGTTACTGGATAGATACTGCAAAACATTATTAAACAAGAAAAAAAAACAATTGCAAATTTTCTACTGACAAGATACATTGCTGGATGAATTTACACAACAGTCATCATGGCAACATTGGAGCTGTGTTTTCACCACAGTTCCCCGATGAACACAGCTCCCTCAAAATGCCAGTCATTGTCACCATATCAGCCTAGTCTGACATCATGCTGGTGAAAATAAGCTTGATCATCCTTTCTTTTGATTGGAAACATACAAGGTCATCTTTAAAAATTCCACTGAAGTACACTTCAGAATGATGTGAGCAGGACAAAGTGACATTCAATTCACTGGCTCTACTTTCAATAGGATACAGCATTGTATATAGAATTAATACTTAAATCACACTTTCTTAAATCCAACCTATGTATTGCATTGTAGTAATAATTATCCTTTAATTTGCTATATTAGGACTGCAATAACTTCAAACAACCTTTTCTTCATTCATGTTGGAGGGTTGGGTGATTTTGATTAATTATTGTCACATCTACTGAGACAGAGTGAAAAGTATTGTTTTGCACACTATCCAGACAGATCATACCTTACACAAGTACATCAGGGTAATAGAACAGAATGCAGAATTTAGTGTTACAGCTACAGAAAAAAATCAACTCTAATATATGAGAGACCCATTCATAAGTCTGATAACTGGGGAATTAGCTGTTCTTTGATCTGTTGGTGCGTGTTTTCAAACGTTTGTATCTCTGCCTGATGGAAGAGGATGGAAGAGAGTATAACCGGGGTGGGAGAGGGGCTCTTTGATTATGTTGGCTGTTTTCCAGAGCAGCAGGAAGTATAGATGGAGTCAGCGGAAGGAAGGCTGGTTTTCATGAAAGACTGGGCTACGTTCTCTGTAATTTCTTGCAGTCTTGGGCAGAGCAGTTGCCATACGACACTGTGATGCACCCAGATAGGATACTTTCTATGGTGCATCTATAAAAATTAATAAGAGTCCTTGTGGACATGCTGAATGTCCTTAGCCTTCAGAGAAATAGAGGTGTTGGTGTGCTACCTGGACTGCTGCATCAACGTAAATGGACCAGTGCAGATTGTTGGTGATAGTTACTCCTAGGAACTTGAAGCTGTTGACCACCCCCACCTCAGCACCATTGAGACAGGGCGGGGGTGGTGCAGAGTCTCACTGGCACCACATTCATTGCCTATGTCCAATTGTCCTTGACAACTTAGTGGCGAACCAGTTTTTTGTGTACAAAAGAATGGTTTCTTGGGCTATTTCACAGATCAGTCAAGAGACAAGCAGTCATGAAAATGTCCAGCCTAAGACAGAAAAGCAGATTTTTTTTTAAAAAAAAGGACATTGGGGAATTGGCTGGAATTTACCAAGCATTCTGAAGAGGTGCCATTCCACATTTGAAACGCTAACTTTGTTTATTCACATAT